TCAGCCAAAGGCCCTCCAGCAACCAATAAGACTCCCTGCAGGCAGTCACCCTCAGACTCCCAAACCCACAAAGAAAGCCCGCAGAGTAGGAGCACACTCACAGGACAAGGTCCAGGTGTCCAAGTCCAATCCACCAGGCAGAGTCCAGGCACAATACAAAGACAGCCCTCAGGGCAAGAAACAGGTCACAGAAAAGAAGCAGTTCCAAAGCCCCAGTGAAGCAGAGGCCAAATGCAGGCCACAAGAGAAGGTCCAAACCAAAATGTGAAGAGCAATTTTCCAAGCAAGGCAAGGCAAACAAGCATAAGTCGAAGCTGGGGGACTGTAAGCCAAAGCAAACAATGGTTCCTGGCAAAGACTAGCTTCCCACAGCTTCTCCTCTTACTCCCTTCCAGGTGTTCCTTGTGAGGAGGGGTGGGGCGACCTTTTCCCAAGTAGCCTTGCAGCCCTTCTCTGGGTTTGCCTACGTTCCATCTCCTGGCCCTTGGATCAAGTGGAGTAGACAGCTGTTCCTCATCAGAGGAGATTGGCTGCCTATTAGCACCACTATCGGTCAACAGCAGATCCTCCTCTGCGTCTATGCAGGCAGCAGCTCTCTGTCTGGTCGACCACCTCCTCCTATCCTGAGGGTCCTGGGACAGCATCATCCTCAGCCCCTGACAGTTCCAGTTCCAACTCTTCCTCCTTCTCTGAACCGGACTCTGAGGGGGCCATGACACCTCTCTACCTCTCTACCTGTATCTAGAGAGATGTATATATTCAAATCAGTAACTATTTGGTACTATGAATATATAGACATAAATTATGTGGAATCTTATTCCTTCTATCTAATACAGTCCATATAACTTTCCTGTTTGATTGACAGATTTCTCCTAGTTCCACTGCCCTTAATTTTATTGATTTGTTTATGTGAAGAGTGCAGAGAGTGGCTTTGAAGGACAGAGGGAAGATCCGTTACTAAGGCAACAATCAGATAAAAGAGGCTTGATCCCAGGGCAAGAAAGAAGATAAAGGAGGAAGGGAGGAAAACACATTTAGTCTTGCAATATAATAATAATAATAATAATAATAATAATAATAATAATAATAATAATAATAATAATAATAATAATAATAATTATTATTATTATTATTATTATTATTATTATTATTATTATTATTATTATTATTATTATTATTATTATTATTTTATTATATACCGCCCTTCTCCCGAAGGACTTGGGGCAGTGTACAGCCAAGATTAAAACATAAATATACAATATCATAGTTAAAATTAATTAAAATCATTAAATAGTTTTGGCTGAATTTTAAAACCCAATATTAAAACCCAATTTAAAATCATTCAGTTAGACAGCCCCACCTGTCGGAACAGTAGGGTCTTAAGGGCACAGCGAAAGACCCAGAGGTCAGAGATGTTACGAATATCTGGGGGCAATTCATTCCAAAGGCAAGGAGCTCCGACAGAGAAGGCTCTCCTCCTGGGTATCGCCAGCCAACATAACTTGACTGACGGTACCCTGAGGAGTCCCTCTCTGTGGGAGCGAACTGGTCGGTGGGAGGCTGTTGGTGGCAGAAGGCGGTCCCGTAGATATCCTGGTCCTATGCCATGGAGCACTTTAAAGGTGGTGACCAACACCTTGAATTGCACTCGGAAGACCACTGGGAGCCAGTGCAGCTCGCGCAGGAGAGGTGTTACATGGGCGTAACGAGGTGTGCTCATAACCACCCGCGCGGCCGCATTCTGGACCAGTTGGAGCCTCCAAGTGCTCTTCAAGGGGAGCCCCATGTAGAGAGCATTACAGTAGTCCAAAATTCTGTTGCAATAGCTGTTTAATTAAAAGTTTAATTAAAAGTAGCTTTAGGTCCAGTCAGTCTGTTTCTTAGTCTGGTCTACCTTATAGGACTGTCAGTTTATTAGAAGATAGGGGATTTTATTATATTGGTTCGTTGGACAATCAGCCAGATTTTTAGATTGGATTTGGCATTTTTGTCTACCTATTGAGTCCTTTCCAAGGACCTGGAATAGACAAATTATGACTTTTCTTGCCACATTTGTAAAGCGCATCACTGCAGTTATTAAATTAGGAACACGGTTGTTAAGTGAATCCGGTTTCCCCATTGACTTTTGCTTGTCAGAAGGTTGCAAAAGTGGATCAGATGACCCAGGGACACTGCAACCGTCATAAATGTGAATCAATAGCCAAGCATCTGAATTTTGATCATGTGTCCATGGGGATGCTGCAATGGTCCTAAGTCACTTTTTTCAGTGCCGTTGTAACCTGTACAATCATTATAAAAATATAAAACAATCATTACTGAGATTAAAATATATTAAAATGTACAAACCATAAACAGAGAGAATAAATATATCAATAGTGGAAGCATCTTAAGATGTTATTTGTTCTATACGAAGCATAACCGGGTCTTGAGTGACTTCCAGAACGTTAAGAGGGATAGAGCTAACCTGACCTCAGTGGGCGGGGTGAGACAATGTTTCATAAAGTAGGTGCCATGGTAGAGACAAGTGGTATCCTAGACATACCAAATGTAGGTTCCTTGCAGATGCTACTTGTAGCATGCATTCTCTGCCATATTGAATGGTATGGGCTGACATAATCAGAGAGAGGCAGATCCTCAGGCTACCTGGTCCCATGCCATGAAGAGCTTTAAAGGTTAATACCAACCCTTTGAATTGGACCCAGAAGCAAACTAGCAGCCAAAGCAGCTCGCAGAGCAGAGGTGTGACATGTGCTTTTCTAGGAACACATTTTCAAATGTGTCGCTGCATTCTATATCAGCTGAAGATACTCTCCCAAAGACAGCACATTACAATAATCTAACCTAGAGATGACTAGGTCATGAGTGACTATGAGCAAAGCTTCACCGTCTATGAATGGGCGCAACTGGTGCCTGGCATAAAGCTGTGCATGCAATCCATCCAGCACCAAAGATGACATAAACCTAAAACTGTTAGGCCCTAAACTAAAGCTCAGTCTTGCCAGGGTTCAGCTGAAGTCTGTTGTACTTCATCCTGACCCTCACAGCCTTCAGGCATCAGGATATGATGCCCACAACACTGCTTAATTTGCCAGTGGTTGTAATATACAATTGGGTATCATCAGTTTACAGTGGCAATGGAGGAACTCACCCAGCAGACTCATGTAGATGTTAAATAGTAGAGGACCAAATCCTGCATCACTCTGGACTGAGGGTGGGACCTTTTCTCCCCAATCACCACTGACTGAGATCAATCTTGCAGATCCCATGGCCTGGTCATCATGGCTGACTCGGTGGGTTGAGCCAGGGTGGCATGGGCAGGTCCCTCACCATCTCCAGGATGGTCCCATGGGACAACTCTGGGCCTATCGTGGGCCGGATCTGGCCCATGGGCTGTGTGTTTAAAACATCTGCCATAAAGCAACAAGGCAGCAAAGTAGTAAATAATGCTTAATGCATTGTAAGTCGCCCTGAGTCTCCGGAGAAGGGCAGCATATAAATAAATAAATAAAAAAAAAGTAAACATGGCAAAGCAACAACTGCACCCATCCTCCGGTATACTGTGCTCCACTACAGCACAGCCCGCTCCTACAACTTTCCCACCCAAACAGGTAGAAAACATCTTCCCACACGCCACAACAAACAATCAAAAGGGCAGCCTGAACTCAGTTCCCTCTCTTCCGCCATCTTATCTAAAACTATTGAATCACTACCTCACACAACCTCAGAGATTTAACTCTTGCTTGGTATTCTCTGGTTGGCTTAAGCACTCTGAATACATTCCTTTCACACTCCCCTCACTTTCTGGGAGATTCTAATGACATTTGAAGAAGGTAGGACTGATAAAAGTTGCCTTTTGGGCAATGTTTTTTTTAAAAAAATAATTTTTTATTTGAGTAAAATATTAAAAAAACATAACATAACATATACATCACAAACATTTATACAGCATATAAACGAAAAGATTATGTTTCCTTCTTAAGCATTTTTTCAAAGTGACATTCTACTTATAATATATTTCTTCACCTCTCCTTAATCTAATAACATTTTTTTAAAAATCGGTAATATTTCCCCCTATATTTTTTGTTTATTTCTCCTTTTTAACCAATTATATCAATTGTTCCATATTTTGTAATAATCTGATTCTTCTCTTTCTTGTATTTCTTTGGTTAACCTATCCATTTCAGCGCATTCTAGAATTTTTTCTATTAATTCTGTTTCATTTGGCGTTCTTTCTTGCTTCCAATTTTTTGCGTAAATTATTCTTGCAGCTGTTAGTATGTGAATTGTGAGATATTTGATATCTTTTGGATATGATTTATTAAAAATTCCTAATAAAATGTTTCTGGTTCTTTGTCTAACTGTGTTTCTGTTATTTGTTCCAACCATTTTTTAATATTAGACCAAAATTTCTTTGCTGCCGGGCATGTCCACCATAAATGATAGAAGGTTCCTTGTGTCTTTTTACACTTCCAGCAGATCGGGCTATTTTTAGGCTGTATTTTTGCCAGTCTGGTTGAAGACATGTGCCACATATAAAACATTTTCATTGCATTTTGGGCAATGTTAGGTAGGGAAATGAGTTCTTAATATTGCAGCAATAGGTTGGAAAGACACCATGGGAAATGGTTAGCTAAGCCACTGGGATAATGAAGAGTAATTACTCACTGGTGGATAATCTGTTTTCCAGGTAGAAGATCCAAGTCTACTCTTTAGCATCTCCAGGTAAAAAAGCAGGAGGTGATGAGATGAACCTCTGTCCTAAACAGGGCAAGCCATTGCCATCAATACTCAACTAAAGGAATAGCTTGATGTGGTTAAGAAAATTCTGTGTTCCTGTAACACAAAACAGCCCTTACACAGCTATCTTTTTAAAATGTACTGCCTTCCTCTTTCAGGGTGATCTTTATATTTCTTTGTTAATTTGCTAAGTTGAGTCATAGACAAGAACAAGTTGACCTTGGCTGCTGGATTTGACTAACGAGAGATGACTGTTCTCACAGGAAAATGTGATTGTGGCCGGTGTACATGTTTTCCTCCTGGAGAGTCCAAAATATATGGCAAACTTTGCGAGTGTGATGATAGACAGTGTGAAGACAACGATGGCAATGTCTGCAATGGTAGGTCAATTTTAATATGGATTTCGGATGAAGTAATGTTGTGGTTATAATGCTATTTTTTCCTCTGGTTTGGAATTATTGTGATAATATAAAGAAAGTAACTATTTTAAGAGGCAGGAATGTATGTACAACACGGAGATAGATAGGTGTCTCATGTATGTATGTATGTATGTATATTTATATATATGCAAGTCTTGGTGTATTCGGGTCTTCTCCCATGTAAGATTGAGAGCACTTTGGCAATGTTTTGGCAGAATCTCATCTGCCATCATCAGGCTTATGCAAGGGGACTTCTGCAGCAACAGAAGACCCCTTGCATAAACCTGATGATGGCAGATGAGATTCTGCCGAAACGTTGCCAAAGTGCTCTCAATCTTACACCGGAAAAGACCCGAATACACCAAGACTTGCATACCTGTACCCGTGAAAATCTACGAATATGTGTGTGTGTGTGTGTGTGTGTGTGTGTGTGTGTGTGTGTGTTCTGTAAAATAAACAATGTAAACAAATGGTTTTGTTTCTAAAAATGTAAAATTATTTGAAAGAAACGGGAGATATTGACTCGGAATCTATCATCTGAATTAAACGAATGGGCTACCATATGCTCAATGATTCACATCTTGGGGAAACAGAAGGAATAGCAAAGATGAGGGCATACAAGGGACTGTGCTGTGCACTTCACCAGCTATAAAGCTAAAACTGAAATTCAGCAAAATGAACCTCTTCCTAAAAATAGTATGCGGAGCCTGCCCCATATTAAGAGGTTTTGCTATCTGAAAGTTCCCGTTTGAACATCATCACATTCATATGTGAAATGGAGAACATAAATATGTGTATGTGTGTCCTTCCCATGTTCCTCAACATCTGGAGCCATCCTTCTGAAGGCGGTGCCAGAGCCTTTATTGAAATGGTACTTACTCTGCTGTCTTAAACCTAGATGAGCCATTGGAGTATATTCAATAAAAACACACTTTGCATATATTTAGGGGCACTCTGATGTTTATAGTGAATGCCTTGTTTTCAGAGAGAAATATTGGTGGGAAAGGTAGGTTTGTAAGGCTGTGCTCAATGATTCTCTGGATCAAGCTTAAATAGACTCGAAATTGGATACCTGTGAGTTATTACCTGCAGCTGAACCTCAAAGCTACACAAAATGTGGTATGATTCCTTTTTAGAGAAAATTCTGCAGCATTAATTGCTGATTTATAGGTCTATGGACATTCTCAAGTCATCCACCTCATGGTTGTCCCAAAGGTGCTTTTTTCAAAAGGCAACTGGACTTTGTTTTTCCTTGAAGATGTTTCACTTCTCATCCAAGAAGCTTCTTCAGTTCTGATTGAATGGTGAAGGATGGAAAGATTTATATTCCTTGCAGTTATCTGCAAGGTCTTTACTACTCTTTCTGAGAGTCATTGAGGCCATTTGGAGGTTTATTTGGGCACTTGGGATCACTGAAATAGTGCAAATGGATAGGGAACCTTCTTGGAACTGCTGAAAGGACCTCGTTGTAAACAGGAGACACCGTAGGTGGTATTTGAACAGCTCTCTCTCAACAGAGGGGGAGGAACACAACACCATCTATCTGCTGTTTACAATATGGTCCTTTCAGCAGTTCCAAGAAGGATCCATACCTGCTAACGATTGCAAGGAATAAAAATCCTTCCACCATTCAATTAGGATTGAAGAAGCTTCTTGAATGAGAAGTGAAACATTTTCAAGGAAAAACAAAGTCCTTTTTATAGTTCATCAATGGGAAATTTGTGAGCCTATTGTTGTTGTTGAGCTACAGTTCCAAATATTCTTCCTTATTTTTCATCTCATTGAGACTGGTAGAAGCTGATTCACCAGGTTTAGAGAACCAGACATTCATTAAACCTTTTGTAATTAAAAGTCAATGAAATCAACAAAGAAGCTAAAACGATGAGCAGGCAGTGGCCATGCTGATTGTGGTTGATGGGAGTTGTAAGTTAAAATTTCCAGACAAGCACTGTATGTTGATATGAATAATAGATAGATTTTTTTTCCTGCTTTGGGGGGGGGATCAACATGTAGAAATATTGAGAAAGTTGGGATATTTTATTATTTAAAATTATTTATTTCTTCAGAAGCTACCAAAAGCTAAACAAATGTATATTGGTCAAGAATAGACTAAAAAGGAACTTTGTTTGCCAGTCACTACAAATTTGTATGATTCTCAGCTCCTGATGCAAACCTCCAGTTTCAAATAGATATATTAATCAGAAAGATAAAATCTCAATATTGTAATGGTTTAGGGGGGAAAAAGTGGATACTAGAAATGTTAAATACAGAAATCAAATTCTGTATGAGATTGAGATCAGCACTATAGCGGTTTATCATTACATATTTAATAATTCAGACCTTCATTGTAGATCGGCCCCTGAATTTTTGCACATGAAAATACTCAGGGAAATTTACAATAGCCTTATGTATCCATATTCTATTTGCTGTTGAACAAATTGCTTATGCAATTCCAGCAAAAGAAACCCACCCATTTGTTATACCATTAATCAGATTTCTTAAAATATCTTCTACTCATTTATAGTATGCCTCATACTTGGGCATCAAAAATATAAATTTATAGGGGAAAAAACTATTAAGAAAAAATCTTTTTCAACACAGAAGATACTGGAAAACCCACTAATTATGTTGAGATGCATAGGCATAAAATGTCTTATTTTCAGGCTGCTTCTAACCATTTAGCGACAAGTTATGCCAACCTCAACATAATTTCTTCTGCAAATGTTAACAAGTAGTGGAGTTCAGCTCCTGTTGATTTCATGGGAAGGATGAAGGAGAGCTTAAAGCAGAATGAGTTAAAGCTAGGCATGATCTTGAAGAACTGGTAGGAAGACTTAATGCCTATTGAAAAAGTAAATGGAGGAGGAGGTGAACTGAATAATTGTCTTCTGCTTGTCTCACTAGCAGATATTGATTTATAGCTCATTTTTCCAACTCTAGGCTGAGGTAAATATAAAGAGAAAATGTGTTGGATGAGGGCATAAGCATCCATGATCTTGCATACTTGCAAAGTCCTAAAAATGCTACTGCCCTTCATTGGATGAAGGAAAAAAATAGTGCATTTTCATCAAGAACTAAGAAGGGAAAGCAACTGACGATTTACATGCCTTGATCTGTTCTGATCATATTCAGAAGTTTATCACACTTAAACTTGGTGCCCTTGATTGGAATGGAATTTATTTCATCATGTAGCTTTCTCCTTCATGAGCTGAATGCAGAAAAATGTGCTGTGTTATTCAAATTCCTCAAAGAAGTAAAATGTCCCAGGAGAACACAGCGGGAAAGAAAGTTTGCCATGGTAGGAAATAATATAGGGTAATTAAATAATATGCTTGATAATGTAAACTGTCCTTTCAGCATTTGGAATATTTTACCTGAGCTGACTTGTCATTTATTTTTTTCGGATACTTTTTGAGACTTAATAATTGCCTAGTTAGCTAATCACTTTTAAGATGACATAGAATGAAACATCAGTAAAGTCCGTGTAACTCAAATAGAAAACAACCCACTAGATCCAGTTAAAACAAGAGCCAATTAAAAGGAAATGCTAAAAGAAGCATCACAAGTGAATCTAAAAATAAACACACAACAGAAAAGTAAAGAGGATAAAAGACGGGGAAAGAAGAAAAAGATCTTTGCCTGGCACTGAAGCAGAACCAAAGTGGACTTTTTGGAGAGCGTATACTATATTTCACAGCTGGAACTGGAGTGGAGCTTCACCTTGTATAGTCACCTTTACCACTTACCACATACCAAGGGAAATGTTGGAATTCTGCTCTCAGGAACTGATAAGTGCATTGTAGTTACTCAGATGTTTGAGAGTGACTCAGGCAGGTTCAAATTGGGTGACTTTGTTTACCCGTCTCTCTTAGTTCCATCTACTGTTGTTACAATGGTAGAAAAATTGGAGAGGGAGATTCTATGTATAGTACCATGAGCTCATGGGGAAAAAAAGGCCGGAAATAAATCATTCCAGATTGTTTTTTTAAAACATTAGTATTATTAAATACATTCTCAAGGACAGCCCCATAAACAATCATTCATAGGGAATTTCTAACATGTAAATCATCAAAGCCAGGCGACCTTAATCAAAAGAGAACCGTAGCTGATGAACTCATTTAAGATAAATACAACTTAGGGAAAACAGGCAGAACGTGGCTTCTCGAAATGTTTCAGCCCTTTTACCAGCAATGGCCATAGGAAGTACCTGCATTTTCTTTTGTATAATGAACTAAGATGAGATATGCGTGCATTTGTTTCTTTCTGGTTTTTCCCTTGTATTGTGACTGGGTACAGTTGTAGGCAGTGGTGGGATTCAAGTAATTTAACAACCGGTTCTCTGCCCTAATGATTTCTTCCAACAATCGGTTTGCCAAACTGCTCAGAACGTTAACAACCAGTTCTCCCGAAGTGGTGCAAACTGGCTGAATCCCACCACTGGTTGTAGGTATGTGTACCCCAGTGGTGGGCTTCAAATAATTTAACAACCAGTTCTCTGCCCTAATGACCAGCTGGGTAGGTGTGGCTGGGTGGTCATGTGACTGAGTAGGTGTGGCCAACTTAATGTGACTCACATTGAGGGGCGCTTAGCTTCGCCCGACCTCTCATGACCGTGGGGATGCTGCAACAGTCATAAGTGTGAAAAACATTCATAAATTACTTTTTTCAGTGCCATTGTAACATTGAATGGTCACTAAATGAACTGTTGTAAGTCAAAGATTACCTGTATAAAAATACAAAAAGCTTCTTTGCTTGCAAAAAGCTGGCCTAAATACCAATCATTAGATTAGAAATGGGGGAATAATACACACTGAAGATCAATGAGTCACAGCTGTCATGGAAAGCTAAACCATTCTGTCTGAATACCTTCCTTTTCCTCAGCAATACCTGCAGCCCAGAGTTACAAATCAGGCAGGCTGCCAGAGCACATTGAGGAATTAAAATAGTTAAAATAAACTCTTGCTCATAAAGTGAAACCCTTTAGCAGAGAGGTCATTTAAGCTCTCCAGGAAGTGGGTGGGCATATTTGGGCTACAAAATGATGAGCTAAAGAGAGAAATTAACAAATTATCATTTTGAGGGCTAATCCCATTCTGTCTTTGTTCAGACCTCGTTGCAGGGAATTTTTGCCTATGAATATAGCTATCTATCTCTTTATCTCTTAATTGCTGACATCTGCTATGGGCTCTTAAGGAAGGTGGGAGCTACTTTCTCCCTCTAAGAAAACATGTTTCTCCATTTCTCATCCAGGGAAATATATTCTTCCTTTTTAATATTTCTCAAAATATTTCATTCTTCTAGGAGAAGGGTGGGTGCTAACTTTCTACAATTGGTGCCATGTTACTATGCCATATTATCATGAGAGCAAACTATAACAAATTGGAAGGAGGATCCACTTATTATCAGTGAGCAATCATGTAGCTTGGCCACTCCGAAGCAATGCAAGAGACTCCCGTCCCAAAGGTGCTTTTTCAAGAGGCAACTGGAAACCAAGAAAGCCCAGTTGCCTCTTGAAAAAAGCACTTTTGAGACAACCATGACCTGAATGACTGAAGAATCCCCATAAACAAGAGACTCCTGTGCTCAGCGAACTGACAAAAAGCACCCAGGAGAAGCAATCATTAGATCCATTTGCACCACTTAAAGATACCAGCTGGCTTCACTCACCTCACAAGATATCCTAAGGTAATCATCCAGATTTAAGGAAAAAAATCACATGTCTTCAGAAAGGCAGTAAAAAAAAATCAGACAGAATGCCAAGCTTGCGTCCTGCCTCTCAGCCATTTTTTCTATGGCTATGCCAACCCTTCTGTAAATAGCTGTTCAAGCCCCAGGAATAAAAGTACCACAAAAAACTCTGGGGAGGGGAGAACTCCAGAGAAGCTCAGCTATAGACAGAAAGCCTGGGCAGTTTCTGAAAACACTTAAAGCAGCAGGGGTGGCAATTAAGATAAGGATTAGGCTAGAAATACAGGCACACTAGAATCTTTCCTTTCTGCGTTCCTTGCAGGATTAGCCCTGTAGTGTGGGAAAAGATTTCTTCCAACTACTGTTCTCGAAACTGCTCAGAAAATTAACATCTGGTTCGGGAGAACCAGTACGGAACCAGCAGGAGCCCAACACTGGTATACCCTGAGAAGCACAAGGCAGAAGCACATGCTCCTTCCTAGTTTACCCAACCAGGAGGGAGGATGGATGGACTTAAAATAGATGCCCAAGTACCTCTCCAATAGGGCAGCATTGGGGATAATTTTCTGGATGTGTTTTCTCCCCAGGTCCTCTCTGGATCTGGCCTACCTTTGAACCTGACTTTTCTCTTGCCGATTTCTCTCAGTGGACCAAATGTAAACCCATTCTATTTGGTCTTCAGAAAGTTATCCTGTTGATGGACAGCCGGACAGAAGGCTCAAGAAGACTGCCTATTTTTTTGTCAGCAGGCAACTACCGTGTTTTCCCGAAAATAAGACCCTCTCTTATATTTTTTTGAACTCCGAAATAAGTGCTTGGCCTTATTTTCGGGGAGGTCTTATTATTTTGGGGCACGTGGAGGAAACCAGAGGAAATGGCGAGGACCGGCTATGCATGCGTTTAAATATTTTTGGGGAGGGCTTATTTTCAGGGGGGGGCTTATTTTAGCGTATGCGCTCAAAAGCCCGATTGGGCTTATTATCAGAGGATGTCTTATTTTAGGGGAAAGAGGGTACCTGGAAACAGAACAGAGTGGGACCAAATTTGGTTTAGTGGGAGGAGGGAACAAAAGAAAAGTCAAGTTTGAAAATGGTCTGGATCTGGCCAGAAAACTCTGGAGGAAAAACAATCCAACAAAAGCATTTGCATACAGAGGAGAGAAACAATTGACCTCAACTCAGAAGACTGCTACCAGCTCCATTCCTAAGCCCCCTACCTCCTCCTTCCTGATCACATGAGCCAGAGTGGAAGTGCTATTAAAAGAATTGTAAAGAATTTCAGAAATCCTGATCTGCAGACTTTCCCTACCTTGTTTTTCTCTAATTCTGGAGTCATCTAGGATTCCACAGCTGGAAGCACATTTGCAAGGATATTTTTTTTACCGCCAGGTGATTTTTCAATGACTTCTGATATAGAACAAGTATTTCCATGAATGACAGAACCCTCCTCTCCAAAACGGAGTTAGTCATGACTACAAAAATTGTGATTTCCAGCTGGAAGAGATTGTCCACCTCTGCTTTGGGAGTAACATAGCACTTTAAGGAGTGATTAAACACCACTCACCTTGATGGACAAACCATCCACTTAACCATATTGGCACTTTATCTAAAATAAATGTTAAATTCTTGGCCACATCCAATCCTTTGATAGGGCTAGGCAAAATGAGTCCTGCGTATCTGCAGTTTTATATGGATGCAAATAAAAAGAGAACTAAAGATTAGCCAAATATTTTGTCTCTCATACCAGTAGCATCTTTGCAATGCCGTATCACTTTCCATCTTTTTCTGTTCTTGCTTCTGAACTGGCTAATTCCTCAAGAGAGAAATTGGGAGGGGTGGGGTGGGGTGTCTAAAAATGGCAACTAATAAGATTCTGCTCCCTTGCTTATTCTTCCCTCAGAGCATTGCTTTCTCTGCTGAAAAAACAGTAAACAACAACACAAAAGCTCTCTACTGATTGCCTACAAGAGAGGAATGCTAGTGAGGAGTGATGGTGTTTTCACTTTAAGAATAGAAAGGATATCCCTGGAACTACGAACTGTGACATGGTAGAAATTTCCTCTCAGGAGGAATTGTGTACTGCACAGCTAGGGAGAAAATAGCACAAATCCATCTTCATTGCATTCTATGTGGAATACCTGAGGCAATTAACCACTGAAATTAATCAGGTCAAACGCAAAAACCACTGGGAGATACATGGCATTATAGAGATATGCAAGGATCTGATCCTTGTATGTGGAAGAGCTCTTTGTTTCCAAGTGTTGTCACTAAACAAGTTCATTTTAAGTAGCATAGAGAAGAAGGAATATGATAAGGCCTTGCATCATGTGGCTAAATCAAAATCTCCCCATCCATTATCCATCTTAATGTATCTTGAAGGAAGAAAGACAATCCTAAATCTTGATAGGAAGGGTGGGGCAAGAGAATAGATTTCAGATTTTCTTATTCAGCTATCATTCTCCGTCCAGGCTATGATCATCTTCCATTTTGGCACAATGCAAGAATTAGAAATGCATTCTAGAACAGGCAAAAATACTCTACTTCCTTTGAATAGCGACCCTTGCATCTGCTGAATGCTGCCTTTTCTGAAACCGGCAAGAGAAACAGAATCCTTTCCCTTTACAGATTGTTGCAAACTCTGTTACTTACGTGCAGCTGCAACAATTTTGATTTGGCTCAAGCACCTACTTGGAGATAAGGCCATTATCCTCCAGGATAAGATCATGCAACTGTATTGTAAACAAGAATTTCATCAGGGGCTTTCACACTCTCAATGGGTCTGGACAGCTCACAACAATCAAAGAAATTGCAATAAAATCAATAAAAAAAAACCTAAAAATGAAAGACAAAGTTGCATTAGGAGTTTGAACAAGATTTCTGACAAGCCTCTTCTACTGACATTTAGCAGAATGGCTTTGTCTTCTAATTTCAGTACATGACAGAAAACACAGTGCTGGGAGGGAGCAGGTACTGGAAGCAGTCAATGGCCCATTGGAAATTGTGCCGCCAAAATGGCAGGCGAGCATGTGAACACACAGAATTTAGGTTGCATATGTGAAACCATTTCTCCTCCTTCCAGCTACTGAAACTGCCGAAGTCACCACCACTGGTCCGCTGAACCAAAAAGTTGGGGACCCCTGGCCTAAACCACCTCTCATCCTTAGTATGAGGTAGAAATAGATGCAAATTCACACCAGCCCCTCTGAAAAGACAAAGTGAATAATCTCCTCTGCATATTAAAGTCCCTGCCTAGGGATTCTCTTTTTATCTAGATCAAGGGACCTGTTCCTGTGGTCGTTGCATTTGTAAGGATGGATGGTTTGGAAAATTGTGTCAACACCCAAGGAAATGTAACATGGCCGAAGATGAGAGCAGAAGTTTCTGTGAATCAGCCGACGGCATACTATGCTCAGGAAAGGGTAAGTAAGTGGGGGACTGATTGATGCTTCAATTGGCCCTGTTCCTGAAGAATAAAAAAGTACAACTTGTGCTTTACATCTTGAAGCACTTTCTTTGGTAATCCTTTGTTGTTAAAAAAGCTTTTCAAAATGTTTATATCACAGAACGTTCTTGTGGCAAAATACTCCACATTGCATTGAGAAGTTTTGCCCACAGGAACTGTTTACCAACAGCAGGCCATTCCATTTGGTGATATCTTTGTGGGTGTATATATCAATATGGGCTCATTGTGTATTATGGGATATATTTTAGCATTAAGCTTTAAGTGCTATTAGCAGCAGGCGGCTTACAATTGCTAAACTTCTAAGAAGGAAATTTGCCTTTGAGCAGAATGGAAAAGTTCTTGTCCACTACCCACACGCTTTCTCTTGCACTGTTCGTGCAATTCATGTTCATCAAAATTCACTCAGTTCTTTTATTTTACAGGTTTTATAAGTTAGCATGTTGTAATCATCAGCTTTCATTGTAAATTATATTTTGGTCCTAGTCTTTGAAGATCAGTGGCATTTGCAACAATAGGGCTCAGGGTCATGCCTTGAATCCAGGGGAGAAGAAAGAATTCTAAGACGAAGTAGAAGATGAAATGGTACTTTTATTTTTTGTAGAACAAATCCAGTCTTTTATAACACTTCATCTACTTGGTGGAGATACTTGACCTAAGAATACAGAGCTGCATCCATCCTTCCTCAAATGTTTTGGGAAATTGGGGCAGGCAAAACAGCATTGCCGAATTTGATTATAATTTGTATGAATGTCACGCACCATCACAGCGTACCTATCCTTTTGTGCTTTATTTATTGTAAAGTGTGTGTGTGTGTCTCTGTGTGTGGCTGTATGTGATTATTATTATTATTTTTTTACAAAATCACATTTAAAAAAAAAATCATGTGATTTGTCAAAAAAGAGGTCCAGGTTCTAAGTAGTGTTAGAGACTAAAACATACAAAAACTAGTTACCGAAATGGGATATTTCTAGTCCAAGGGTGGGCAACTGTGGCCCTTTTACAACCTGTGGACTTCAACTCCCAGAATTCCTGAGACAGCCAAGCTGGCTCAGGAATTCTGGGAGTTGAAGTCCACAAGTCATAAAGGGGCCATATTTGCCCACCCCTGCTCCAGTCTAATAAAAAGAAGGAGTAGGGGTGACATGATAGCAGTGTTCCAATATTTGAGGGGCTGCCACAAAGAAGGGGGGGTTCAACCTATTCTCCAAAGCACCAGAAGGCAAGTCAAGAAGCAATGGATGGAAACTAACCAAGGAGAGAAGCAGCCTTGAACTAACGATAATATTCCTAATGGTGAGAGCAATTAACCAATGGAATAACTTGCCTTCAGAAGTTGTGGGTGTACCATCACTGGAGGCTTCCCAAAAGAGACTGGACAACCATTTGTCTGACATGGTAAGGTCTCCTGCCTGAGCAGAGAGGGTTGGACTAGAAGATTGCCAAGTTCCTTCCGTCTTTATTATTCTACGTTTATATTCTAAATTTGATTATCCAGAAGTGAGGTGAGACTTTGTTACATAGTAGGAAGGGAAATAATTTAAAATATCCAGAGTTCTCTTACAAAAGATACAGGTAGTCCTCAATTGAGGAAATCCAAAATTTCTGAGAGACATTTGTTAAGTGAGGTTTTCGCCTAGTTTACCACTTTAACAGTTGTTAAGTTTGTGACATGGTTGTTAAGTGAATCTGGCTTCCCCATTGACTTGGCTTGTCAGAAGGTCACAAAAAGTGATCACATGACTCCAGAACACCGCAACCATCATGAGTCATCATGCCAAGCATCCGAATTCTGACCATGCGACCCTGGGGTTCCTGCAAAAGTTGTAAATGTGAAAAATGATAATAACGATGTTGTAACTTAGAACAGTCACTAAATGAACTCTTGTAAGTTGAGGACTACCTGTACTTTAAAAAGTCTGCCTCCCATTAGGTTCCTCCTGATTCTCTATAAGCAGTGGTGGGATTCAGCCAGTTCACACCTATTCGGGAGAACAGGTTGATAATTTTCTAAGCAATTCAGAAAACCGGTTGTTAGAAGAAATCTTATTTGGTTTTTTTCCACTTTACAGGGCTAATCCTGTAAGGAATGCAGGAAGGAAGCATTCTGGTGTTGTTTCTAGCCTAATCTTTATTGCCCTGCTTACAGAAATTGCCTCTCTGGTTAACCCTTATTACATTGTAACAGCTAAGGCAAAGCGCCCATCAACGTAAGTGATGTTGAGTTGGCCACGCCCAGATAGTCACATGACCACCAAACCACGCCTACCCAGCTGGTCATTAGGGCAGAGAACCGGTTGTTAAATTATTTGAATCCCACTACTGTCTATACGTTTTTAACTCTTTTGCTAAAGAATTCTCATTTTTTCTCTACAATAGATAGAAAGGAATGTGCTTTTTATAAAAAAAATATTCCTATTGAAAGTTTAGAAATTGTTGGGCACATCATCCCATTCAGTAACTTGTTTCCTTCATGGTGCAGAACAGAGGAGGGGTCCCACAGTGTCTTATTTTCCATCTCTCTTCTGCTGTCATTATTTTTTGTTTTGTTTTGTTTTTATTGAATTTATATACCGCCCTACTCCCGAAGGACTCAGGGCGGTGAACAGCCATAGAATAAAACATATAAATACAAAATTTAAAATAAAATAAAACGAATTAAATAATTTGGCTGAACAAATTTAAAACCCCAATAATTTAAAAACAAATTTAAAATTCCATTTAAAAAGGGGAAAGACTTAGGTCAGGCCAGCTTGATGAAATAAGAAAGTCTTGAGCGCGCGACGGAAGGTACTCAGATCCGGGATCCTCTGTATCTCCGGGGGGAGCTCGTTCCAGATAGTAGGTGCCCCCACAGAGAAGGCTCTCCCCCTGGGGGCCGCCAGTCGACATTGTTTGGCCGACGGCACCCGGAGGAGCCCCTCTCTATGGGAGCGTACTGGTCGGTGGGAGGCTATTGGTGGTAGCAGGCGGTCCCATAGATAACCAGGTCCTAAGCCATGGAGCACTCTAAAAGTGATAACCAAAACCTTGAAGCGCACTCGGAAGACCACTGGGAGCCAGTGCAGCTCGCGCAGGAGAGGTGTTACATGGGAGCGCCACGTTGCTCCCATCACCACCCGCATGGCCTCACTCTGCGCCAGTTATGCTCATCAGTAGGTTAAAGCCAGTACTTGTTTCTTGTGGGACTAGCCATGCTAATTATCCACAATATGGCCCTAGAATGCTGTGTCTTTTTGAAATAGAAATAGAGCCAATGTAAACTATTGCCTATTGCTCCTTTCCTCTTACTGTCCCTCCATTTTTGTCGGTCTTTGGATTCATTGTGCTAGTTAACTGTTTTTGATTTTGCTGATGCTTACCACGTAACTATCAGGCTACACTTTTGGGGTAGCAGAACTAAGCGGTACATACGTCTTGTTCAGTGACCATTCAAAGTTATGATGGCACTGAAAAATTATAGATTTCTGACTGTCCTTGAAGTTGCAGTCATTACAGTGTTCCCCACACCACACGATCACATTTATATTTACAAAATATAAATAAATACATTTTAAGAATAAACTGAGGTTCAACCACAATACAACTTCACATTTGGATGGCAGTTTTATTGGCTAGTTTAGGGGTCAGCAACCTGTAGCTTTGGAGCCGCATATGGCTCTTTCACCCCTCTGCTGCTGCTCCCTGTCACTCAAAATATGCTTCACAACCGCCAATGTGCGACACCTGCCGGCACGAAATTTATTGAGCTTTTCAACTCCTGGTAGGCCAACCATGGATAAATCCAAGAAAAGAAAAGTTTCAGAAGAAAACAAAATGTTTAATTCAACTACATAGGCTAGTTTTGTGGCGACTCAAGAAATAGTCAGTACGGGAAGGGTTTTGTGGCTCCCAGTGTTTTCTTTTCTGTGGGAAATGGGTCCAAACGGCTCTTTGAGTGTTTAAGGTTGCAGACCCCTGGGCTAGTTGGTTCTGCAGAGGAAGCCTAGCTATGTGGCAGCATCCAGCTGACTGTTCTGTCCCCATCCCACACACACACACCAACAGACGTCCAAGAGTTAAAAACCAAACCAGCCGACAAAATCCTTATGATAACTGAACTTGGCAGCAACCTAGTGGCTGCCTGCCAAAAGTTTATTACTCATGAAGGGAAGAGATAACTTCTCTCCACTTCTGGTACATCAAAGTAAAATGTTCAATAATTACAGAGTAACTTAAGTCCAAATATAATCCAGCAAAGCCTATAGCAAAAGTCCAGCAATGCAAAATGGCGTGGAAGCTTTCAGCTTTGTTCGTCACAAGGCTTGACTGGCCACCATGCTCCCTTTTATACCCTGTGGGGTGTGGTCCAGTGACTCAGCCTAATCTCTGGCACGCCTCCTCTTTTGTTGCGTGCGCTTATCTCTCCGACGCTGGCATGGATCCAGCCAAGACTCATCCCCGTCACTGTCCGACTGCGCCTGCCCGGGGATACCTGGCTCCTGGCCAATCTCTTCTCCATCAGGAGACACCTGAGGCATTGCCAGAGAGGAGGGTCCTGGAGAGGGAGGCCCGGCCAACTCCTCTCCTTCCCTTTCAGAGCCTTCTTCCTCCGATAAGACGGGCTCGGGGGTCAGAGCCACAACACTGACTTTGAAAAAACTAAACTGCATTCTTGTCTGAGTATGGTAACAAAATAGGATTAGCCTGGTTGGTTACTACCTAGATGGAGACTCCAGGAAATACCAGATATTTTTTGTTAGATGGAGTTAGAAACCTACTGGAAGAAGGCGATGGGCATCTCTTACTGTCATATGGAAACAAGTAACGTCACCAGGAATCAAGCTTGATTCAAAGATGATTGTTTGCTATAGAGTGGGATTTTAGCATATCTGCACACCTGTTCAAATCATTAGTTTGAAGACCATTCTTGAATTAACTCTTTCCTGCTGAGTTGCTTAAAAAGATGGGACTTCTCATTACAGTGTGGTATGGCCTCAGGTAAAGGATACTTGATAGATTGAAACCCTAGATGTTCCATGTTCTTTTCATGCAGTGAATGCCCAAATGTTTGTACTCTGGCCTGGGGGTAAAAGTGCTCAAAAGAAAAACAAGTGGGATACGTGAGGAGGATTGTGTTTCCACACAGCTATATACAGTCCAGTGAGACCTGTTCTTATTACCTCGCTCTGTTTTTATTCCTGATTACATCTCTGTAGTTTCAATAACCTTGAGGTTTTGTCCTTTCTCTTCCCTTTACCTTAGCTAAATCTTCTCACGTGCCTTCATCCACTCTCCCTTAATCCCGCAGAGAAGAATGGCTTTGATTTTAGAGCTTTGGAACCAAGACAAAATGTCCTTCTTCCAAGCAACCCCTGATTAAATCAAAATGGAGGGAAATAATTATAGAGCATCCTACAACCCCCCCTTCAAGTTAAAGCCCCCCCCGAACATGCTTCTCACCAATAGGCTTTTATCACAATGAACTCCTTGTAGACAATCATTTATTGATAGGCACTGATTACCTAAGATGTCCCCTGCTTGATTGAAAAGTTCTGCTCTTCACTGAGTGCCAGTAATGATTTTTCTGTGCTTTCAGGTTCCTGTCACTGTGGAAAATGCATCTGTTCTTCCCAAGAATGGTACATTTCAGGAGAATTCTGCGAATGTGATGACCGAGATTGTGACAAATACGATGGCCTTATTTGCACAGGTGTTGTATGATCTCCACAGTCAACCTATCTGCTCTCTAAGAAGACACACTACATTTCAGTGGCTCCCAAAGCATTGCATGCTCTCATCCATCCAACAGCCTCTTGAGTTCAGAGCAGGTGCTATAGACTAAGAGGCAAAGCACCCTTAAACAGTTATTGCTTTGCAAAACAAAGATTTCTAAATGAATGAGGAGAAATAGCTTCCTGACTTTCAAAGATAGTCTTCTTTCATGAATGTGTGAGGGAAATCCTCTTAATTATACCTGGGAAAAGAAAGGGGCTATGTGTATGAAGCAAAGTCTTAAAGAGTCAATAAAAAAGCTCCCCCCATAGAGAGAGAGAGAGGGAGGGAGGGAGAGGGAGGGAGGAAGAGAGAAAGAGAGAGAGAGAGAGAGAGATTTTTAGGAATGCTTAAAAAAAATTGGAATTGATTTCTTATCCTTCCAGTTCCCATTATAAAACTGATTTTTGAAAGAGGAAGGAGTAAATTATTCCAATATACCCAAGAACTGCAAATGACACACAGAGGCTGTCATAACGTTTGTCATATCATAAATGTTCAAAATCATAAATACCGTATCATATGCTATCATAAATATCACTATCATTCTTTCCCACCCATGTACACACATGCACAATTGCAATTTCACACAATCACTCATAAGTTCAATTCTTAGTGCTAGAATTGGACTGAGGAATTACTTTGAAGCAGTTACTACTTCTGAGGGCATCTTACCTCACTTCTTGTTCATCATCAGATCTCCTTAAAACAGAGATACAAAAGGGGTTTATGTGTGATCCAACATAATCAATTTTGGGGCTCTCAGGATCCTCATTTTGAGCAGTTTGGAGGAATCTAAGGAGAAAATAAATGCCTTAAGCCTTGAGAGCTTCAGTTCAAGGCAGAAGGGGGAAATATGTAGAAAGAAAAATAAAAGCTATTTTTTGTGATGGTTTATACTTTCACAGAGCAACCCATTTTTAATTTCAATTATGGATATTTTGTTTTGTTCCAGGAAATGGTATATGTAACTGTGGAAACTGCGAGTGCTGGGAAGGTTGGACCGGAAATGCTTGTGAGATCTGGCTTGGGACTGAATATCCCTAACATTGCCACGAAACACTGAACACTGACAGATATGTGGTGTAAAATGAGGCTGCTAGACTACATAAATGTAAGATGAACACAATCCAAAAACCCTACCCATCCTAATCAATCAGCTCAGTGAAATATTTCTTAAAATATATGAGCACCTCTGTTCGGCTCTGTGGTTCTAATTCTGCATATATATTCTTTCCCTCTCTCGCATAGCTTTTAAGTATGCTACAAATGGTAATGTACCATACCGTATTTTTCTTTCTATAAGTCACACTTTTCCCCTCCCCAAAAATGGGTAGAAATGTCTGTGCATTTTATGGAGCGAATGTTGCCAAAGCCCCACCCACCCACCAGCCCCCACCCTTCGGCCTCTGCCTCCCAGCAATTTGCCTCTTTGCGGCAAACAGCAAACAGCCTGGTCAGCTTCAACACAGTCTGATTTAGCACGAGCAGCTGATTGATGGTTGGATCAGCCTTCCAGAATACTGCCGATCAGCTGTTCCAGGCTGCGGGAATTGCTGCCGCCCATCACCGCCTCTGCGTGCCCCATTTTTGGCCTCCACGTGTCCCATTTTTGGCCTCTGTGCGTCCTGTTTTCAGCCGTGGAATTGCCACCTCCACCTATAGCGGCCAAATGGTGGTGGCGGTGGCAGCTATCCCCACCACCTGGAATGGGCTGAAAAAGGTGCATGCGGAGGCCAAAAATGAGACATGCAAAGGTGGCGATAGGCGGCGGCAGCGATGGGTGGCAGCGATCCCCACAGCCTGGAACAGCTGATCGGCAGAATTCCGGGAGGCTGATCCAATCACCAATCAGCTGCTCGTGCTAAATCAGACTGTGCTGAAGCTGACCAGGCTGTTTTCTGCAAGGAGGCAAATTGCTGGGAGGCAGAGGCAGATTTTTTTTTCTTGTTTTCCTCCCTAAAAGCTAGGTGCATCTTATAGTGCGAAAAATACGGTGCTTGGATTACTGAATTTCAGTTTCCTAGTAATGGGAACTTTAACTGAATTAACTGAAATCATTCAAAATGGTTTAGGATTATGCAAAATGACTGAATTGGTGGTGACATTGATGGAGGGGATCCTTCTGACTATGGAAATCAGTTCGTTTTTCTCTTGAAAACTTTCACATAGATCCCTTCAAAGGTTGCTTGCTGTCTAGTTTACCACTTACTATCAATCTTCATTCACTTACTGTATCTGCAAAATGTGGGGGAAAGAGCTGGATAGAATGGGAGCATTTAAGGACATCCCTCCCTGCAATAAAACATTGCTTCCTTTCACAGGATTAGCAATAAAATCAAACCATTTATCTTGATTTATGCATCCCCTGCTTTTTTAAGGGGAAAAAATAAAGTACCTGAATCTTGAAAAATACGTTCTATATGAGTCATTTAGGCACAGGTTGCAAGCATACAATGTTTGCTTAAATGCTTGTTTTTCTCAGCATAATTTTATTGCGATTTCTTTGTCCTCTTTGCCAACACTGCTGTCGAAATCTTTTTGGTTATGATTTTGTCAGTCTTGTTAGACCATTTCACCTGGTATGATGACCAACAGGAAGAAGTCACTTTCAGTACATATTTAACCACAAGTAGGTGGATTACAAAATAAATGGGAACAAAGGTGGTGACAGCAAAAGAAGAAGAGGAATTTGACCGCAAGGCCCAGAAATGCTATGGGGCACTAAGCGGTAGAGAAATAATTCATGTTTGGCAAGGTGAATTCTGTTTGTCTCTCCTTTCAATTGCATTAAAAATGTTCCTTTTGATTAAAATATCAAATATATACTTGGACAATTCTGTTTGGAATATCTTTGTGTGTGTGTCTTTGTGCACACTCGTGCATGTGTGCGTTTGTATGTGTGTTATACAGCCATAGTGGCGCAGTGGTTAGAATGCAGTATTGCAGGCTGACTCTACCCACTGCCAGGAGTTCGATCCTGACAGGCTCAAGGTGGACCCAGCCTTCCGTCCTTCCGAGGTTGGTAAAATGAGGACCCAGATTGTTGGGGACAATATGCTACCATTTGTAAACTGCTGAGAGAGTGCTGAAGAACACTATGGAGTGGTATATGAGTCAAAGTGCTGTTGCTATTATAAATTGTTCTCAGCATACAAAAGTAAGTCGGTATCAGCTGTGTGTACACTCATATACATACACATCAGGGGTGGGTTCTAAATTTTTTTACTACCGGTTCTGTGGGCGTGGCTTATTTTGTGGGCGTGGTTTGATGGTCATGTGACAATTCTTTAGGATTTAACAGAGGAACTGGTCTACCAGGCTTTTAACTGCTTGCAGAGCTGTACCAGTCTACCCATTTGTTCTTGGAGCGTTCCGGTCTACCCATTTGTTTTTGAAGGCACCGGTCTACCCATTTGTTTTTCGAGTGTACTGGTTTACCACCACATTGCCTTTTAACACTGATCAGCTGTAGGGCAGCCCTTTGAAGCCCCCGGCAAGAGTTTAAACAGTTTTTTTCCTTCTAGCTGATCAGCTAGGACTCAGGAGGCAGCGAATAGATTGTGGGTGGGGCCAAATAAAAGGTAGGAATAACACCAGGGGGGGGGGCGGGAGGACCTAGCTTCCGAACAAAGAGAACCAGTTCGGTGATGTCATATTGTCACTGCTACCGGCTCGGCCGAACCGGGCCGAACCGGGCCGAACCCACCACTGATACATATGTATTTCCCCCCCAAAAGCAAAATAAGATAATATGCATTCTATGTGGCAAACAAAAGATGACTTCTACATGGGCATAGATACTGCCAGAACAATTCAGAAGCCCCCACAATCACCCCACCCACTGCCAATCACATGCTGCTCCCTCACGCCAGCACTACCACCTGCCAACCAATTGGCTTGTGGCTTCTTGTGCTGGTCCTGTGCAGCGAAACGCCTGGGTAAAACCATGCCTCAGGGTATGGGCCGGGACGAAGGGCTGGGTGTGGTGGGCCAGGGGGTTTGGTGATGGACAATCTCTGGCAGAGGCCCAACAGATGAGAAAAGCCCACTGTGGTTTGATGGCGGTGGTTGGCTAGGAGTGCAGTGGGTGTGGCCAAAGGGTCAGTGCCTAAACATCCGAGATCCAGTAAGCGGGCTAGAAATCATCTAATAACTCATATTATTCACTACATGCTTCACTTTGTAATGATGAATCGTTGCCAGCTCTGTTATGCAACTACTTATTTGTCCAGTTATGTAAAGTAAGATATCTGTACCATTTTAGGATGCTTCAATGTTTTTTACATTCTTTTAGTATAATTAAAAGAAACTATCACAGAGTAGTCCTGGGATATTCAAAAGTTAAGGGAAGTAGTCAGCATCTGACTGCATCTTGTAAGAAAAAAAGGTTTTCATGTGTTTTATGTAAAAAATGGTTGAAACCAGTAACTTCATATATGTTTCTCTCGTGAAACTTCAGTATATTGCAATAACCTCCTAACATAAACGATCATACTAGGTAGTCCTTGTTTAGCAACCAGCTCCCAACAATTGGGACCTGCAATTCAGTTGTTAAGCAAAGTGATCGCTAAATGAAATGACAAGTGGATTTATAATCTTGCTTTAACTTTCCTTTGATTTGCAGACTTGTGAAGGTTTTAAATGTAACAATTGGTGATAAAATTTACATTTTCACCACTGTTTTAATTGTGAAAGGTCGCACAAGGAGGTCAACTTGTATAATATTTTGCAGCTCTCCAGAATGTACACCAAGCCTGGGCGTCCATTCTGTACACCAGAACGAATGCCCAGTCTTAATCCTGCGGTTGTAAAATGAACCACATTTAGTACTTAGTGATTTTAGGGTGCATCTACAACCATCAGTGCAATCGGAATGGAGCTTCCTTCATGGCTGAGGATAGCAGATTCTTTTCAGGGAAGGAAAAAACAAAAAAGGCATTTTAGTGTGAAGAGAGATGCCTCAGAGAATATTGGCTTCGAGATACCTGACTGTACAGGAACTCTAACGCATTTGGCATACAATAGAATTCTCATTATTTGTATCCTATGACCAGTGGTGAAATCTAAAATTTCTTACTACTGGTTCTGTGGGCGTGGCTTGGTGGGGGTGGGGGTAATGTGACTGGGTGGGCGTGGCCAATTTTTTTTTTAACTTTTAAAACCATTTTTTCTACAGCCTCTTCAGCGAAGAGGTTGTAAAAAATGCTTTCAAAAGGCTCTGAGATCCCAGCTGACTTGCCTGATCGTCAGAGGCTTTTTTTTCTTTTAAATGCCTCTGCCGATCAGGCAACTCAGCTTGGATCATCAGAGGCATTTAAAAGAAAAAAAGGGGTTTTTTCTTTTAAATGTTTCTGACGATCCAAGCTGAGTTGCCTGATCAGCAGAGGCTTTTTAAACTACTTTTTAAACTACTTTTTAACTACTCAAAAACTTGTCAGAACCTGCTGAATTTCACCCCTGCCTATGACTATCATTAAGTGTTGTACCTTATGATTCTTAACGAATGTATCTTTTCTTTTTATGTACACAAGAGTATATGCACCAAAGACAAATTCCTTGTGTGTCCAATCACACTTAGAATAAAGAATAAGAATTATAAAGAATTCTATTGTTGTGGAATGGAAGGACTAAAAAACATTCCCAGGTCAGTCAGAGATAGCTTTATTGCGCAAGGTTCAGAGCCAGATTTGTACCTGAAGCTTTGAACAACCAAAGTACTCTGATACAATGGTTTTTATACATTTCTAAGACAAAGGATTCAGTGAGATCATACATTTTCCATATATGGTTAATCATGAGATCATACATCCAATTTTCCTTCTATGGTTACATACACTGGATAATAAGTTCATCTAATTACTTAAAGCATTAATCTTAGTTTACAAAATTATCTTAGCCGCACAACTTTTCTTAAGTGCTCGGAGTTGCTAATGGGAGAGTTACTACTCTCCTTGGGTAAATTCATTGGCTTAAGTAACTCTTTGTAACATATAGGTCTTTGTGTCATTCACAGTGAGGTCACTCAGATGTTTTTCCATATGGCAGTCCTTTCCGTGACAGCTAGGTCTCAGAAGATATATTACCACTTAAAGGGGTTTAACTGTTTGTTAATGTAATTTCCAACAAGCACTTTCCTCTCTTATAATAATGTGAATAAAATAGGAATCATACAGAGTCAGATATATGGGCTCTG